ATGCACTACCCTCCCTGCAGAAGCATTTCACCTTGTGTTACCCCATGTTGATTCCTCTTGCTGATGTGCTGTTTATATAGCTACTGATGTCACCGTAGAAACAGATCCTCATAAATCCTTTTAATTCCTGCAGATCCTTTTAAATGTTTCTACATAAGCAGAGCAAACAATATTGTCCTCATCTCCAGGTGACATATCAAGTTATCTGTTTTCCTGAGGCTCCAAATCAACTTAGACTTTCATCCACCAAAAAGTTTTTCCAGTCCAGCATTCCAGGTGCCACCATGATGACATTACAGCAGTCTGCTCAGTACCAACAATGTCCTCAGTATTAAGTTCTGTGGCTTTAATGCAGTAATACCCCTTCCCGACGTGTTGAACAGACAGAGCAAAAGGGGACAGGGACGATACAGCTTCCTCCAGCAAGAAAGGTATGCAAGAGTTCAGAGAACAAAAAGGAACAGGGCAATAAAAGTATCCACATAACCAGCTATTATTTTGATGCTGATATTTCTGCTATGTACTTTTTCAGGAATCTTAACCCATTTACTTCATAAGAGCAATTTATTGGGATATTGAAAAGAAAATCTTCACGTTCAAGGACAAGCTGAAGATAAAAAAGAAAAACACCTCCATACGTCAGGCCCTTGTAAGACTTCAAGCATGTTGTTGCCTTCCAGAACAGGGAGGGGAAAAAAGTTCTTTGGAACGATATCATCGCTGCCTTTTTCATTACATTGGCCAGAAATTTAAAGTTACTAACAGCGCTATTTGTTTTCCATCCCATAGCTTCCTCTTCCAGCTAGGGAAGTCATTCTCTTAACCAAGTATCAAAAGCAGGGCCTATACAAAAGCCACTGTACTACTCAGCAGTGTTTGGAGCAGCATGGCACTTGGAAAAAGCCTGGACAGCTGTTCCAAAAGCACCTTAGCCACTGAAGTCCAGTACAATACATTGATAGCCGTTTGACTGACAGCACTTCAGTACGTTCTTCTATACAGAAAATCGTACACGGAGACCAATTGGCTAACCCAAACAACAGATGTTATAGTTATAAAGTCTGGTTTGCACAGCAAAGTATTCAAATTTGCTTACAGTCTGACAATCAAAAAAGTAAAACTGCAAAAAACACACTATAAAACAAGACCACCAATTTCAGACTACACCCAGTTAGGAGCCATGTGTTAACCATATTGCATGTGCATACAAACTGAATGGGGAATCAACCCTTTCAAACCGTGCTGTATTTTGGCAAAAGCCAGTAGGATAGAAGGGAATCAATCTGCACTAGAAACGGAAGAAAATTCAGCATTAAATAATCTAACTGAATCTAAGGGGGGGGGGGAATATCTGTGTCTTGAGGCAACTATCTCATACTATTGTTACTTACGCTAAGGAAGCCTAAAAGCAAATCTGAATCCACACTGTACAATAAAAAATAATTCGTTACCATGACAGTCATTTTGACAAAAGCAAGGTAAGAACTGCAAGGAAAAAAAAAAAAGAAAAAACCCCACAGATTAGATTTGGAAGGAGGGAGGAGGTTGTGGAAACCGAGAGGACAGATGGGGAATTGGGCCAAAAAGCTTTTAGGATAGGCCTGTGTGATTTCCAAAGTAGAGAAGATTAATTGCATAGTGTTGTCTAAGCTCTACTCAATATATTTTAATACATGGGTTAAAGCTATGCATACATTCATTATATCTATGCAAATTAATAAGAACAGTATTTATATAGTAACAATACAGTGTAACCTTTCATTTGAAAAAATTCCAGTGATCTTTATTTATTTACAGTTTATTTGCTATTACTCAAATATAGCTGCTGAGCTCAGCACAGAAAAAAGTAATATTAAGTGTTGGATTAAGTACTATACAGCAATGGGGTAAACATAGAATGAGATTTTAACCAAGGACTTCATAGTAATAAAATGCAGACCTTTAACATTCATCCATATCAGATAAGAGTATTTAAGAGAAAGAATCAAACAAATGGAAAGGATTGCCTTTCCTTGAAGCCTAAAAGATGTAAGCTGAAGACAGCTATCTGTTCTGCACACACCTTTAACTTTCATCTTTCCAATCCTTGCTGTGCAAGTCTCATTAATTTAAACTCTCTTAATCCCTCTTAAATTTTATGTAATTTGTACCCTTAGCTACAAATACATCTCCCTATATGTAACCTAGCCATAAGACAGAAGCTAAGATTTTCTTCTGTAACAGATGCTAAAATTGCTTTAGAATATATTACGCACTGGAATGTGTATTCAAGATCTCACTCCTGTTAAGAAATTATGTTTTTAATAAAATTTAAAAATCAGTATAGTCAACTAAGGTTTCAGCTATGCTCATGGCCCTCCAACAGTGAGCTCGCCGATAACGTGCGCTCTCATTGCTCTCTGCGGTTTTCAAGACAGGAGACAGATGCAAGTTTAAAAAAAGCACAAAGAGCAAACAGAACAGAAAAGTTTCAATGCTAGGGTATGTCTCTTATGCTAATTACTACTAATAAAATGTAAAATTTAATAAGCAGATTTTTAAATTACAAAACAGGTCTAAAATGTCTCAATTATCACGAGGTCTATGGCTTTCCTTGTTCTTTCACTAGATAACCTCCTCCAGATGAGATACAACCACTTTCCCTCACCCCCTTTTCTTCAAACAGTGCAGAAAGATGGGCGAAGAGAAAATGAAGCAAGCTGCCTGCGGCCAGCACTGGTCTTAGTTGAGACTGGGCAGACCAGCTTTCCAATCCTTTACCGGATCATGCAACCTCTTCTGAACCCTGCCGAACAGCACTGATGTAAGGAGGAATGCTCCCCGAGCGGCCAGCTCCCCTACCGTTGGCCCTGCAACCACCATCCGCAAAATACATTTGACCAAGTACTCTGCTTGTTAGAGAAGCCTGTTCTCCCACGCTATCAACCACTTGTGCTCCATGAAGTGCCGTAAGGCCTGAGCGGTACTCGGCCAGCATTTACAGAGTGTTTGCTGCGTGCAGGTTCTCTGACCCATCCCCATGTGCTGTGACTGAGGCTTTACCTTGCATTTCAGTCCACAAATGGAGTCTCCCCCAGTGTGTAATTGCTGGCAAGTGAGTAGGTACAAGCCGTAACTGAAGCTCTGGCCAGTCTGCACATAAAGATGATTTCTCTTCTGAATGTATACTCTTGTGAAAAAATACAGCATAAACAATCTAAGCTCTCCCACCACTACCAGCATTTACAGGCTCTCTCCCCTCCTTTATCAATTATCTGGCAAAGGTGCAAACTCTGTATAACTACAGTACTGATTCCTACTTTCTGCAAATATCCCTCTAAGTCCTGCTACCTCAGAGGTACTCCAAGCACTGCACCTCCTGGAGAAAGAGTGCTAATACTTCTCCATCCTACTACAGGATAAAATTGAATCACAAAATGATTTTCCACCTTAATTTTAAGCAAAGTCTTTTTTGCAATAAAGCCAGTGTATCGCATTGTACTACTGGGCCCACACAACAGCTGTTCTTAACAGATTCTAAATTATTTTTCATCCTCTGACACTGAAAATAAGATTGCCACCAAAGCTGACGCTTTTGCAGGCTCCCTATTGCTACTGCTCAAGCAACAAACAATCACTCAGCTACAAGCCCTGACCAAGGGAAAAACATATCTTTTGAATGGTTTGAAATGATATTTGAAGCATTTCAATAGATAAGCTATTCTGACAAACATTGGTAGAGCTAAGTGAAAACAGACTCTACAACTTTCACACGGAATAACAAGTATGGAATGCAACACCTCCAAAACCAGCAGAATTTCAGCCCATCTTTATCTGCAGCTGATAATGCCCACACATACAACTAGCATTTTAGAGCTTTTACAGCAACTACAACTGGATAGAGCATTTAAAGCATTTACATCTGTACTCATACAATGAGATTTTAGTAGTTCAGATATACAGCACCTCATGGAAAAATCGGACAAGATTTTACCTCATTAGTTTCCATGGTTTGCAGTTTGAATCCATCTCTGTTTTGCGCCAGCAGTGTTATTACAGCGTACTGATCATTTTACAGAAAAGTAATATAAAACTACCAGAGCCCTTAAGCCAGTGCTTTGAACAGTGAAGCCAAACATAACTATTCCTTGTGGTGGAACAAACAACTGCAATCAACACTTTTAAAATGCTATGTAGATGAACACAGAAGTTTTTACTCAAAAATGAGGAATACAGCTAGCTGAATAATCTAATTTTCAAGTACAATCTCATTTTGAGGAAGAAGTTAGCTGGCAGCAGCCACGGGTTAGAGCTTGAAACCTTACGTAAGACCCTAAAAACCTTATGTGAACTCGGCAGTAAGAGGCACATCCAAGACATCCAGAGCACACTGCAGGCTTCTGCTTCTGTCCCCAAAACATCCCAGATACTTTCTGATACTGACACTGTCTGTTTTGACCAATAGTTAGCTGCTGCTAATTAGCTAGCTATGAACGAGGGGGGTGAAATCAATGGCATAGCAGGTATGAGATCTTAAGTCACTTGATTTATATTTCACAAACAGAAGACAGGAGAGGAGCTTTACAAAGAAATCATCGATTCACAGAAAAACTTGTCAGAAAGGTTGGAAGATATCTCTATATGCCACCTAGTCAAATCTCTAGCTCAGATGAGGTCTCATTTCAAAGTTGGAGCAAAGTGCTCAGTGCTTTATCCAATTTAGTTCTGAAATTCCCAGAGACAGATTCCATACGACACAGAGATAACGTAGTAGACAGAAAAAAGGGTGGCTCTTTTTCGAAGAGGAGCTAAGTTCATTCCCACCAATCAGATACTAGAAGATATAGTCAAAAGCTTTTGCATGCAGATCCATATTTGTCTCCAACAGAAATGGGGCAACCTGCCCCTAGGACAATCATAATTTAAATTAACAGCACATTCTGCTGTCTGCTGCAGCCAACTAACTGGTAGCTCTGGTGCACAATTACTTTCAAAGGAAACATAACATAAGAATTTCTTACCTCCAGGCCTGTATACAACATCATCCTCTGTGATAAAAGACGTTATTTCACCGTTGTCTGTTCTCTCATATCGGGACTTCTTCTTGGGTGGTTTCTTTTTGCTTTTCTTTGTGGATTCCTCTGTGGTGGCACTGTTGTTGTCATTGTCCTCATCTTCACTATGGTCACTTTCCGCATAATTCTTGGCTCCTCCTTCCAACGTACAGCTCCGTCGAGGACGCGAGTTCTCACTCTCCCTCACCTTGTCTCTCTTGTCTCGCTCCTTATCCCGGTCTCTATCCCTGTCCTTCTCTTTGTCTTTGTCTTTTTCTTTGTCCGCTGTCATGATTCGCCACGTGCCTTCTTCTGTCCTCTCACGGCTGGGCCTCCGTGAAAGGTAGACAGTGAGCCTGGGCTTCAGTCTTCTGAATTTCTCACTCAAATCCAGGAAAAATTCAACCACTCCAACAACCCCAGCGTTTTAAAAAGGTTCTTGAAGGGGCGGGGGGGGAGAAAGAGGGGAAAAGCCCATGTTAATATTCAAAATTCTTTCAATTTCTGAAAATAAAAATTAAAAACAAAGAAAACCCCACATCCTAAAGCAATTCAGTATGGAAACCACAAGACAGTAAAATACAAGGCGGTCTTTTGAAGCACTTGTAGAAATGATAACTTATGAAGTGTCTGTAAAATGTTTGAAGCTATCTCCATCCTCAAAAAGGTCTCACAACTCCTTAAAAAAATTCTTTTGTTCACTACAGAAACATAACTTCTTGGACGGGAAGTGCTCACTGAGAACACAAATTATTTTATATCTTAAGCTGAATAGGAAGCATGCAAGTGAAAAAAAAACATTTAGGAAGGGACAAGTGCAAGAAAGGAAGAAGCAAATGAAAAAGTTTAGCAAATGGCTGTGGTGTTTTACATCTCAACACCACTAGCAACGGATGCCCTACAAAGCTGGTAGAGTAAAGAATGCCATCTGCCACCCTCAGGGCAATCTGTTAGGAAGGCTTCCCCCTACCCTGCTTTTCCAAAAACAGAGCTAGCCTGTAATCCACAGATTACAGAAATGAATTAACTGAAACCAAACCAAACCACAGTAGTTACAAGTGCGCTAACAAAATCTGCTTTTCCATATATCAAAAATACAACCTTTTATGCTTGCTTTACCAATAACAGAACACATGGAGATGGTTTTTGTAACTCATCACCTTCACACATTCAGTTTCCTGCTGGGGAATAGGAAGGCAAGAGATAATCTTATGGTTTTACTTCCCTGTTCATTTAATTAATATAGTTAACATCAACTCTGAATGCAAGTTTAGATTTACAAAATTGGACTTGCTGTTACAAGAGTATTTGCAAGCTTGGACCTATGGGCCAGGATCCTCAGACCGCTACCAAGTGCACAGAGCAGTTGCCTACTGTCGTGGTTTAACCCCCGTGGGCAGCTAAGCACCACAGAGCCGCTCACTAACTCCCCTCCAGTACCCTGCAACTGGGGTCTGGATTAATTCCCCATGAGACACTATTAGCGTACCTCAGTCAAATGAAAGGTAAAGCATACTGGCCCTGTGCAGTTATATCCTTTATTCTTTTGACTCAAAATCAAGAGTTTCCTTAAAATGTCCTTTCTATTGGTCAAATGGAAATGATCTGGACTGACAGATTGCATGACACATCTCCGAGTGACAGCCAGCAGCACACACATTAGAATTTTTGGTACCTTCTCTGGAAAGGCTCTAGTGAATTTGCACCGACTGAAGTATTTCCAAGTGCCTTTTAACATTGCTCAATAGCAGCAGTTCTGAACAGTTACAGCTACTACTGAACGTTTTTTTTCTGTAAATACTCATGGAAGAAGCATATTTCAAGAACGGTGCATCCAACATACAAAGCTAAGTTACCTTTTTTCCCTAGTTCAGGATAAAGCTAAATTTACCCACATCCAATTAATAAGTTTTCAGGAAGCTACTGTTTGGTGCAACTTGAAATTAGTCCACTGTGTAGAATGCTATAGCATGAAAGTCAGGGACCTAAGAAGATTGAGTGTTCATGCATTAAGCATATGAAACCACATTAGAGAAGGAAAAAGACTATTTTTATTTTTAAGAAGTCAGCTGAGAAGTCAGTGATCCTGTGTATTTGAAATTTCTTCACTCTTACATGAATCTCAGACTACAATATTCTTGTCCCTGCTGACTACTACTTCCAGCAATGGAAACAGCCAAAGAGAGACAAATTGCTTTTGCTGATACAATTCAGGCAGTGGCTTGAATCTCTCAGGCATTTCCTGAATGAACCGATCATCCAGGTAGGAAATGATTCTATTTGCTTTCCTCCTTATAGCAGCTGCCATCATTCTGATAACACACAAGGGAAATCCAGCGCAGCTCCAGTAGAGAAGACTACAATGAACCTGTCAGTTGCCAGAGAAGTTGCAGATAACAGGGATAGCAATGGTCTACAGGGACTTAAATTTCTAGAGGTTAGGAAATTCCTGAGTAGCAAGCTTGAGGGTTTTTTCTGTTGTTGTTGATACAAAATTCACTTTAGAGAATAAATAATCTATTCATTTTGAATGAAAACTAATTACTTTCCGAGGGCAATCTAAAAATTACAAGTAGCGGCATCTCAACCTATGTACAAGAGATCTTTATGTTTTCTTTAAAGATCAGAAACTAAAGGATATAGGATATACCTAAAAATTTTATTCAATGACCTCCAAGGATGGATAAAATCCAGCCACTTCTGATTATTCTTATATACCAGCCCCAGTTCTCAAAGACTCAATTCTTGAGTTAGGAACAAAACCACAAGAAACTGAAGCCTAAACAAAAAAGTTGTTATTTTCAGAGCTTTTTCCATTGTTTCTCATCTTACTTTAGTATAGCACTACCCTCTCCTGTTTATTAAAACTCGAATGTTGTTTACAAGTTAGTTTTGGAGAACTTAAAGGAAAAAAAGCGAAGGGAAGTCTTGTTTTCAGGGAAGTCAAGAATGTTTCAGCAGCCTCTAAAGAAGCACTTGCACAGTCCAATATCATTAAGAGACAACACAATACGGAACTCTGCTCACATGCAGATACACTTCTTACATTTACCGGCTAGGTTTACCACCAGCATAGGTACCACTGGTTCTTAAGGTTATGCAAGGTCTGAGTTGCACAAAATCATGATGGAAACCCACTTTCTGTTCATTTCATTTTCCAACTGTGCTAACAAAACTTAGCATATGCACCTGAAGTGACTAAATGCAATGCAGCTATAAGCAAATTAATTTTTATGCTCCACCATCACTTCTTTGACAATAGCCTTCTTATAGCTTACAAAGGCAAACAGACACTACTTTCAGGAAACAACTCTTACAACCGTCCCATCTGTACGCAACCTATGCATTTTCTTCAGCTCTCTCTCCTGAGCATAATTTTTAAGACAGAATTACCACAACTTTTATCAAGAGACTTATTAAGTCAAGTGTCCATAAAGAAGCTGCATCAGCTTTTCTTTCCTCTCGGAAGGAGGGAAGTGTTATCTTCCAAGTGGAAGATCTCAGGATCACCATCTTTTCAACACTAGAAAAGATCACACCCCTCTTCTGGCACAGCCAAGTGCAGCACAAGCACCTTCCTTTGACTGCAAAGTGCAGAATGTCCTTTTTTTCTTTCCCCTCAAATAATTTCCAAGTTAAAAAAAAAATAATCCATCAGTCACCACAATAGTTCATTATTGGGGATGGCTGGCAAACAATAGAAAAAGCAGGCTTGAAACCTGGCCCGCTACAGGGCTTTTTCCTTGAAGCCTCAAGATGAAAAGCTAAGAAGGTGCCAACCACCCCACATCTCTCAACATAAAGGAAAAAGGAATTTAAAGTTCCTGTCTGAAGGAAAAATAAACCAAAGTTGATTAGTAACTGACAGATAACTCATCCATATTAATTTTATTTGCATCCTGAAACATTCTGAGCTCCTCCTCGTATTCTAAGTCTCAAGGAACCAGAGTTGTGCAAATAATTCTGAAAAAGCAGCCACATTTCCGCGCAAGCTGCTCCTTGCCAAACTTTACTTTGAAAGCAAATTTCAAGTGAACCATTTCACACCAGTGGAGTCTGTTCAAGGGTCAACACCACATCAAATACGCAGTGACCTCCACGTGGCCGGTGGGTAAATCAGTTTACAAAAGCAACGCACCAAATGCACTTCCTCTTACTCTATTTTTCTATCTTCATTAACATTTTTTATCGGCATAGGCAAAACCAACTTGCCAACAGAGAGAAAAATCCCTCTACACAACTTGCCATGGAGCACCAGAAGAGAAGCCTCTGAATGCCAAGGGTCACACACTGCAGAGGAAGCACTGATGAATTCCAGTTCTCGCCCATAACGAACAAGAAGAAACACTGCAGGACAGTTCTGTGAACTGTCCACATAACTGCAGCTTTAAGTCCGTGTTGTTTCTCTCAGATTAAATTCAAATAAAGTACTTCAGTGTTTTTATTACAAATCCAATTATTATGAGTTTTTTCCTTTTTTTTTGCCACACAACAAAGTTCTGCATAGAGGAGTAACATTGAATAAACAAACACTATGTTCATAATGGTTCAGTTTACTGTAGGGCTGTGCAAGAATTTGTGTATACCACAATTTGCTCAGCCTGTTCATCTATGAAATTTCCACTTACAAATGCAGCAAAATTGCCACCCTCCTCCCAGCTCCTGTTTCAGGAGAACCCATACAGAAGTAATTTTCATAGCCAATGTATTTATGAACAGTACAAGAATGCTCTTCATCTAATCAGAGTCTCTATCTAGTTCGACTAGCATTAAAAGGCAAGTGATGAAATCTCACCACAAGCACTGTTCAGCTTTCTTACGCACATATATCACACTTTCAAGACTATTTTACTAAAAAAAAAATTCCATTTCAAAAATATTGCAATAAATAAACCAACATCATCATGAAACAATGACTACTTTCGTCTCTCTAAGAATAAAGCGGTCACATACCTTAGGAGTAGTTGCACAACAACTGGGGGGGTGGAAAAAACCCCAGAGGAAAGATACTGTTACACAACTTCAACTGTGTAGCAGTAATACAGAACTACCAGAAGAGCGAAGAAAAGTTGTTTTATCACCAGCCACCTAATTAAGATTAAGTCATTATTACCACAGAGAAGTATTTAATAATCTTTACTATTTAAGCAATGATCCAAACATGTTTTAAAGATTCCAAGATATATTTTGCCTCTACAGTGAAATACAACAGCTCCCCTTGCTACCTCCCTACTTTTTATTTACTAACACCAGAAACCAAAAACAAACAGCAATTTACAAATAGAAGCATAC